TATTCAAGCCAGTAATTATCAAGAATGTTCTTCAAAGTGTTAGGCTCTTGGCTGATGGTGAGCACTCCCCAAATTCACGTTCACTTGCTGACAATCCCATAGCATCTCGCTCGTTCACTACGAACTGTGTAGTTGGTATCGAAGCTAACAAGAAACGAATTGATCAACTTTTACATGAGTCGTTGATGCTTGCAACAATTCTGAACAGTCACTTGGGTTATGATAGTGAGTCGTTTCTTCGTTGACAAGTACCAAGTCCAACTGCATATCACAGACGTCGCAAAGGCTGCCAAGAAGGCACATAAGGAAGGAACAACACTCAAGGAAGCTACTGTCTCTCTCGGTTTCTTAACTCCAGAAGAATTCGATCAAAAGGTTCGACCAGAGCTTATGCTTTATCCTGATGATGTTTAGGGGTTTGAATAGTATTGTATAATTAGTGGAATATATTTTCATCGTTTCGTTTGTCTCAAGTCGAAGATAAGGACAGTTCAAAGCGGCAAGTTTATATTTGCCATCGGACAACGCTCCGAATTGGCAAAGTCGAAAAACTGCAACCCCGACTTTGGACCCTACCACCCCCAAAAAACGCGTATCCTCCTCAAATATGGCACCTATTCTAACTGGAAAAAGTTCAGAATCCGGAACGGCGCGTGTTATAGGGTCCGGCCTATCTGGTATCGCTTATCTCTAGAGTTGTACAAGTTCATCATGCTGACTCCGGCTCAGGCGTTGCTGAACTACTTGTTTTCCACCCGGTTGACACAGTAGCGAAGAGATTGATGTCCAATAAACAGAAATTTTCGTCGGGGAACGCGAATTCCATCCTCTTTCGGGAATACGCATCGGCTTCTCTTTCAAAAAAGTTTTTCTCTCTCTTTCCTGGTCTGGGTTATGCTGCAGGCTATAAAATCGCTCAGAGAATATACAAGTTCGGTGGACAACCCTATTTCAATGACCTAATCCGTGGTACACCTACCCTTAAGAATGCATTCACCAACGCCTTTGGGGAGAGAAACGCCAAGAATATGATGCATGCCGCTGCCGGAAGCTTGACTGGTATCGGTGAAGTCGTATTGTTGCCGTTGGATGCTCTGAAAATCAAACGACAAGTCAACCCGGAAGCCTTCAGAGGCCGAGGGGCTGTTCAAATCTTCCTTCAAGAAGGCACGACGCTTTATAGAGGATGGGGATGGACAATGGCGCGTAATGCACCAGGCAGCTTCTCGGTAAGTCGAAGAGTAACATGGTCGTCGAGGCTATTCTGACCATATCAGCTATTCGGGGCGTCAGCTTTTACCAAAGATTATGTACTTGGTATAAAGGACTATTCAAAGGCAACATGGTGGCAAAATTTCATTGCGTCAACTGCAGGGGCCGTCGCTTCAATAACAGTCGCTGCTCCGTTGGATACAATCAAAACTAGGATACAGAACGCTAACTTTGAAACCAAAGTCCATGGTGTCAAAGTTGTTCGTGACTTAATGAGAAATGAAGGCCCTACAGCCTTCTTTAAAGGCCTGACACCCAAGGTTAGTTGGTATGAAATGCAAAGTCATTCTCGCATCGCTGATTTATCTCCAATAGATCTTGGTTGTAGGGCCCAAGCTGATTTTCAGCTTCACACTGGCACAAACACTCATCCCTATAGTTGGGAAGTACGTCTGAGGGAGCGCCATTTACACCGGTTCTGCTACTTCGAAAATATCCATCGTGGTCGATGTGACAATATTCGCGCTTATTTCAACTGTATCTATTCACACACACATCCCTGCTTATTCCATTTTGGGTTCTAATGAACATCTAAATTCACGTCGACTCAACTTCCATTTTACATCTAAACATGAGGAGTGCAAAGTTGGCAAAGTTGTACACTATTCATGATGCGATATCTCCGTTAAACACGTCAAAAATGGGAATAGTGGATTAATCGGAGTTCATGGACTTGGCGACGCGCCTCGCATACTCTACTAGTGCACTATATACCACATAATTAGGCATATATTATGATGGATTGGAACCGGGATAGAACGTACCGTACACCTCTTCCCGTCATGCCTGTCTTTTGATATGGTCCCGCCCTCGTCGCCTGATCAAAGTTAATGCTGATCTGTAGAAATGCTTGTTGCCTTACCTCCATAGTACCTGCAATGTCAATATGTGCCCATTGTAATTTGGGTTTTTGGCCATCTACACCTTCTATTCCTTCCACAAATGCCTACAGACATAGTCAGTAGCTAGCTATATGAAGATCAGGGTGCAATATACCTTCAGAAATAATGCTGCAGTGCAGCTTCCCCCGGATCGACCTCCTGTATTGCATAGATCGGCATTAGACTTGTAAATCTGGGGTCCAAAGTCTTCGTCTAGTGGCATTCTCCAAACACGGTCGTATTCTGCCTCCCCAGCTGCATGTAATTCACTCCAGAGGTCATCAGAGGTCTACCTCCAATCATTAATAGAAATTCAATTCACTAAAAAGGTCACTTACACTGAAAACTCCTGAGAAAACTTGGCCCAAAGCGACATCCATCGCCCTACGATGGAGCTTTGTCAGAGCTTGCCAAATTAGAATGAAAAACGCACCCAGTAAGAGTGGCTACGTCGATCAATACGCCAGGTTTATAATCTCTTGATACATATGTCAGTGCATCTATAAATAGTGTTAGTGGAACTCCATACGGTAAGGGACAATCGAACCGGAAAGAATGACTATATTATGTAAAGTTTGGTTTAATGAATCTATGTGAACGATAGCCAAATGACAGTGCAGGGATGATCACATACGACGACCTTCTGCATCTGTATTATCCACCTCGACTCTTTGCACCAGTAAGATGGAATGCATATATATATGTCACGAATCACTCACGTTTTCCCATTCATTGCGACAATCCTATAGGTGAATATAAATATCACTTCACATCAAACACACTAAAGTCATACTTACACGTCACCAGGCTTGGTAGCTCTCCCTCCTGGCATATTTTCCGTTAATGGAGTGGCAAGAACGACATTGATGGGTAGCTTAAGCTTGACGATTGTAATCAAGGTAGCAAGGACAGTCGCAGCTCCGCCCATATCTCCTCTCATTGCCTTCATGTTCTAGGAGCGAATTAGTAGGTCTGGGGACTACAGGGTCGCATGACTTACAGCTCCGGGTTTAATCGAGATTCCTCCACTATCAAATGTCACCCCTACAGGAATCAGCTGGTATACTGCACCGAATAGAGAGCCAGTCACCTTTACCAACCAAACCTAGATGGAAGGTATCTGAGTTCGGGGCACCCTTGTAATGGCTATACACGGTGTGAGTAGGCTCTCTTGGTAGGTGAACAGGCGTACATTTCTAGGAATTTGGCAGGCTCGGCAGTACCTCTGGTGACCGATAAGAAGGTGCGCTGGTCATTTATGAGAAGATTTCCTGAGTATCGGAATGAGAACATTTACCATTCCCTTCTCAGTTGCCCAGGCTATTGATCATCCGGAATGTTAATGGATACGACAGTCCGCTTTTAGCGTCTGGACATACCTTCATCATGAACCTTGATATCTACATTATTTAGACCTTAAAATTCCTTGATGGCTCTCTCGCAGAAAATCTAGGTCCAACTAAAATTAGCTTTGTGTTTGTTATGGAGTTGTGGTACAGACCGAGGGAGTCATCATATTTGCAGGTAGCTGTGGGGATTGTTTATGATCGCGTTAAGGTCAATATAATGATTTCACACCTCCATAAGCTATAAAGATGCAAGATTAATGAATAATAGGTTACTTCTCGGAGCTGGGCGTACTTGTCTTGCAAGATTTTGACCTTCTGCATAAAGCGAGCCAGTCTTCCAGCCCAATCCCGAAGCTGCTTGAGGTGTGGCAGATGCACATTCCAAAGAAGGAATAGGATCTCTCTCCTTTGTTTGGAGTGTGAAATCAAAGATCGCCAAATTAGCGGCCACAGCTTTGAAGCCATTAGATGATCGTCTTGACGAAGGAAGCTATCAAGCTCACCTGCATCATGCTCTTCCAATTTTCCAGTCACAATGCCAATGGATCGTGCTCCAGAGTCACGCGCGGCCTTGACCCCAGTAGCGATCGCCTTTCTACCGGCTTCCCTTACTGCATTCGGAGTACCTGCATCTTTTCCTAGTGAGACCACTGAAAGCATCGGTCCACTCTCTTGATGAAATACTCTTGTTTCCAGAGCTTTGGTAGTCTTGCCATGCGTTTTCGACCATAGGTTGGACAAGTTGACCGACGACTTGTAAGACGTAGGCGCCTCTGTGAATTCCGTGGCGAATACAGGAAGAACAAGAGCATCACAAGTTGCAGACATAGTGGCCTTCTTCCTGATGAGAATGCGGCTGTAGTTCAATGTTGAACGTGGATAGGCGAGTCGCGAGATCCTGCGCATGTGACGATAAGGTGCTTTAATATAAATGTTATAAAAGCTGTCCGATAGTCCCCAGATGACCAATAAAAGTTCCTGATTAGTAACGACAGAGATATTTTGTAGACTTTCTGTTCAAACTCGAGTAGGGAAAGCTGGCTGTGTTGGGGCTTCACAACTTGCTGGACGCCATATCAGCTCTGCCCGGTCTACTCTCAGTTTATTTCTCAAATCCAGGCATTTTATCTCTAATTCTCTCACTTTCTTCTATACAACAATCAAATGTCCGAAATTCGTAGAAAGCTCGTCATTGTCGGCGACGGTGCCTGCGGTAGGCTTTATACCCAGCTATCGTACTATTTAGAGAGTGCTAACGTCTATTTCTGTCAATGAACACTTGACCCGTATCCCCCAACATTGCTCCATCCCTCCCCTCGCCCTCCTTTACCTCTTAAATGACTCCCCCCACTGCAATCCGAATCTTTATGGGGCTATTTGGTCGGATGCGTTAAAAAATTCACATTAACTTGATTGTATCACCGAATTGGGCGTCTCTGACGACTGATCACCCCCGCGCTACCCATGAAACAGGCAAGACTTGTCTGCTCATCGTGTTCTCCAAAGGAACTTTCCCAGAGGTACGTATGATGTATAAATTAACCGGGCTACTCTCGCCACTTCAAAGTCGTCGCCTATCCGTCATCTCACCAGAACCCCTTGTATTCATTAGGTCTATGTCCCCACGGTGTTCGAAAACTATGTCGCCGATGTAGAAGTTGATGGAAAGCACGTTGAACTTGCGCTTTGGGATACAGCTGGCCAGGAAGACTATGATCGTCTCCGCCCACTCTCCTACCCCGACTCCCATGTCATTCTAATTTGCTTTGCCATCGATAGCCCTGATTCTTTGGATAATGTACAGGAAAAGGTAAAAGCTTTTCATTTTCCATCGACTTTTTTTTATTCACGTGAAACACCTTAGTGGATTTCTGAAGTCATGCATTTCTGTGCTGGACTGCCTATCATTCT